TATCATTTTTTAATAAATTCACACTAAATCAGGCAAATGTATTAAATTTCGATTCAATTAATACAGTCAAATTTTAAGGTAATTTAAAAAAATTAACAAAGTCTTTAATTTTGATTGAAAATAAATTTCTTTTTTAATATTTTTATTTATTGTCTTTCTTGTTGGGCTTAATATTGGGATAACAATACAAATATTAAATTTTAAATACTTATGGGTCATTGATGAGATTTGAGATTTTTACTCATTTTGAGTAAATACAAGATAGTATATGTTCAAAGACCCTCAATCAACAACAACAACAAAACTCTATTCCCATATATAATGGGGTTAGGGGAGGTAGGGTAGTAGGTTGTCCCCAACGCCAGGTTGAGAGCAGTTTCCGTGGAAGACCTCCGGCAGTCAGAAAAATTTAAAAATAAAGATAAAATACAATGCATGTATAAATAAAGAAATAAATAAATAAATACATAGTTGAACAATCTTCATATGCAGTCTTCATATGCGCGTCTGTAATGGGAAGTTATCCATGCAAATAAATCATTGCGTAAAAATCTTCAAATATTCTGGATCAGATCAAAGATTAAGTGAGACTTGCATACAGTGAGAGGAACGTACAAAGAGAAAAATTTATAAGTGAAACATTTGTCTACTCATTACGAGACCAATCAAAGACTCTCAATCATTTGATAATAAACACCAATGTTTTTAAAACTGGACCGGACCTTGAACCGGTGAAGGTACTAGTTCACTGGTTCAACCGGGTTCAACGGTATATATAAAATAATATATTTTTTAAATTTTACATAATATTCAAAGCAATATTAATATATATATATAACACTCTTTTTAAGTTCACAATATTAAAATGTATAAAAATATCACAAGTCATAACATATATAAGTTAAATACCATAATATCAAGTGAAACAAAATGATTCAAATTAACTACAACATAATATTTAAGGTTAATACCTAATGAAATTCATCAACAAATAAATAAATAAAAAGTACATAATTAATACAAGTATCAATCATCATAATATTCATTGAAATTGATTCCCTCAAATTCCAAAATATTGGGAAAAACTTCTTCATTAGTTGAACTACTACCGCCATCACCACTTTAAACTTGAAAGTCCACAACATCAAGATCTTCGTCACCTAGCAATATGATAAACAAATACAAAATTAAATTTAAATTCTCAAACAATACTTAACAATTAAAAATAAAAGTGTAAAACATATTAAATAATAAATATAATTATATAACTAAAATAAACAAGCAATGATTAACCTTCATTATTTTTTGATGATTTGTCAATTGGAATTGCATTCTCATGATAAAGAAAATTATCAATCTCATCAATATCAAGCTCAGGAAGTGTTTCTTCGTCAGTTACCCAAAAATCAACATGATCAATAGATTCATAATCAATAGGATCATAACATGGCTTCTTGAGCAACCTAAAATTAAACATCACAATATCAAGAAAGAAGTTGATTAATGATTAATTGATTATGCTTAAAAGAATAAGGAAATGAAATAATATTTTGACATTATACCTATTCTTTAAACGCAAGTAATAAGTAACATAAACTAGATCATTTAGTCTTTGATGTTCTAGTCTATTTCTTCTCTTTGTATGGATGTGTTCAAAGACACTCCAATTTCCCTCACATCTAGAAGATGAAGAAGTTTGACTAAGAAGACGGATTGCCAACTTTTGCAAAATTGGAGCACTACCCCCAAACAACGCCCATCATTGATCTACAAGAAATAAATTTAACTATCTTACCGGGGCGCAGGTCCTCTTGGAAGAATGTGAATCAAGATCGACAACAGTTCATCAAATTCCATATATATAAAATCGGGCCATAAAAATCAAACTACAAACTCAAAGATTTAAATTCAATTAAAAGATGAATTAAAAATATAAAGAAATGGGAAGCTTAAACATTACCATCTTACGAGAATAACGAACTGGAACTCAATGAAACGCCAGTGAGGGAGTGGTGATGAAGGAATCCAAAGTGGAAAAGCCGAAAAGGGATAGGGTTTACTGCTTAAACGTTCGTGAAAGAAAAAGAAAAACTGAAAATGGCTTAACCCTGCAAAATCAGAAAATAAATATGGGTTGAAAAAAATCATAAAACGACGATGTTTTGTTTATTAAAAAAAATACAGAACCGCTTAAACCGATAGAACCGTCGGTTCACAGTCGGTTCTTTGCACATCCGGTTTTGCATGCAGACTGGACCGAACAGGTAATCGGTTCCCGGTTCAACCGGTCGAACCAGTCGGTCCGGTCCGGTCTTAATAACCATGATAAACACTGATAACAACAAGTCTCTTAACCATTGAGGTCGTTTGGTTCGTGCAACTTAAAATTATGTGTGTGTTATGATCCACTTATATCTCATGTAAAACTTTTAGTTTTTCACCCTTTTAGGATCGTTTGATGATGTGAAATCAAATGTTGAGATTAACTCCTTATTTTTTTCAATGAATATTGTCTAATTTTTAACCGTTAATCTTAATTTTTGATTTTACCTCATCCAACGATCCCAAAAATGTATAAAAAAATTTAGTTTTACAGTATGTAGTTGGATTGTAACCCTATATATATAGGGTTAGAATCGACTTACATCTAGTATAAACTAATAGTTTTATACCTTTTAGGATAGTTGGATAAGTGAAATAAATTATTAGCTTAACTCTTTTTTCAATTAATATATTTTTTTTCTACTATTAGTTTCAACATTCGATTTCTCAAATACAACTACCCCATAAAAGTGTAAAACTAAAAAAAATAGGATATACTTACATAGTGTAAAACTCTTTTAGTTTTACACCATTTTAGGATCATTGGATTGAAGAAAATCAAAGGATGAGATTAACTACTTGTTTTTTCCCTATGAAATATCTTCTCATTTTTTATTGTTAATATCGCCTTTAATTTCTCTCATCAAATGGTTCTACAAAGATATAAAACTAAAAGAGTCCTACGCACTGTAACAATATCGTACCCCTATATATATATATAAAAATTAGGATCCAAGTACACATAGTGTAAAACTTTTAATTTTACACCATTTTAGGATCGTTGGATGAGAGAAAATTAATGACTGAGATTAACTTTATAATTTTCTAGTGAATATCTTCTCATTTCCTACTATTAATCTTAACATTTGATTTTCTATCGTTCAACGATCCTAAAAAGATGTAAATATTTTTAGTTTTATACTATGTAAATGGGTCCTAGTATATATATATATATATATATATATATATATATATATATATATATATATATATATATATATTGATCGAATACTTTGATGTTCGATCGATTAACTAAACTAAATTTTGATTCAATCGATTAATTTAATTTTAACCGAATAATAAACGTCTCTAAAATCGAATTTATAAATTTTATTGATGAAATAAGCAGATGATAAAATTTTAATTGTAATTTAAATAATAATTATTTAAGTTGAGATAGTCTCCATATGGTCGATTTTGGTTTACAAAAATATGATTAATAAGGTTTAAGATTATATTTTTTGTCCATGTTTATTCGTTCGAATTGAACATTAGGATTAGAACTTAGGTTAATGTTCAACTTATGCTTGATACGTCTTCACGTTGAAAGTGGAGTGGTACTTGCAAATTGCAGCTCTTATCTAATCATTTCTATATTGAAAATTTTATATTCTACCCGTCCTTTATTTTTTTTTTTAAATGTATAACTAATTATTTGATATATTAATAAAAATACATTTAATTATTTAATTTATTAATAATTTTTTTAAAAAACAATTTTCAATAATTTCCAATTTTCAATTAATATTTAAATAAATAAATAATTTTTTAAATGAGTGAAATATAAAAAACTTTCGCAATTAATATATTAAACAACAATTACATAAAATATATATCCTTTATTTAAAGAAAATCATATATGTGTATATATAATTATACCCGAGGTAAATAGTTGAATCAATCATTTCAAATTGGAATACTTGTTTGCTAGTGGATACAAAGTATAAATAAATAAAATGTTAATGGGTGGACAATAAATCATGATATTATCTCCCAATTCTTCCAACGCCTTGACTTGCAATTATACCCTTTCCCACCATGAATGAACAAATGAGTACCGCTAGGGATGACAATTTAACCCGAATATAACGGGTTTTGATTTGACTCGTTTTGGTAAAATCGGATTTTAAAAAAAAAATTGGTTCGGGTCAGGTCAGGTTTGAGTAGAGGATGAAAAAACTCATACTTGATCCGAGAATAATAATAATAATATTTTCTTTAAAAATATTATTTTTAATTAAATCTTTATTTTTTATCGGGTTGTGTTGGATCTATACTCTAAAAATTTGAGTCAGATCGGTGTCGAGTGAAAAATATATGTTTTCGGATCGGATAAGATTTGGATGAAGAATGCATATTTTTTTGTCGGGCCAAGTTTACCAAAAACTTGACCCGTTGCCATTCTAAGTGCCGGAACTCCATTCATAATTTTTTTTATATTTTTATTTACAATTTAATTTTATATTTTTTAAAATTATGTTTCTTCTTGTTCTTTAAATTTTTAATATAATTTACTGAAATATCAAAACATTTTTCCTTTTTAGATTTCACATATTATACCCTAACTTAATTGAAGGGAATACTAATCTCAAACCTAAATTTTATTAAATTATCAAATAATACTCCATAATTAAATCAATTTAGATGGACCGTATTAATTTATTTAAACATTTCTTTACGAGGAATGAATATTGATTTCCTTACATGTGACCCTCCTAGAAGGTGGATTCATTGGGAATGCAGGTAGGCAAATGAAGTAAACTTTGGACGTCATTCCCCAACCAAATTCATGTTCATTCAATTTGATCCAATAATAAAACCAAACAGCAATTAGTTGTCAACTCAACGTACAGTTAAGGGGGAAACAGAGCTTCTAAGCAAATTAGATTTCAACCCTAAGCCCCCCGCTTTTCCCATGAACCCTACTCTCTCTATATAAACAACTACGTCATTATGCCTTTTTCTCTCAAATTAGATTTGCTAATGGCTTCTCAAGGTGTCTCCATTCTCATCGTTCTCCTTTCAGCCGTTGCTGCTTCAGGTAAACACGCACACTGTTCTTTTGTTTATGTCTGAACTCTGAACATGAAAACTCGAGGTCGGTTTTTTGTTTTGTCATTGCAGATGCAGCTGGTTCGGTTGGAATTAACTACGGTAGAGTGGCGAACAATTTGCCTTCACCGGACAAAGTCGTGCAACTGTTGAAGTCTCAGGGCGTCACGAAAGTTAAGATTTTCGACACCGACGCCGCGGTCTTATCGGCGTTGGCAAACTCGGGGATCAGCGTAGTTGTCTGTCTTCCCAACGAACAGCTCGCTACGGCGGCCGGAGATCAGTCCTTCGCGGACAATTGGGTTCAAGCCAACATCGCCAAATACTACCCCGCGACAAAAATCGAAGCCATAGCTATCGGAAACGAGATTATCGGCGACGGCGTCAACGACCAGACGAAAGCCCTCGTACCCGCCATGAAAGCAATCCAGGCTTCACTGGTGAAAGCCAGTTTGGATTCAAACATCAAAGTCTCGTCCCCCATAGCTATGAGTTGCTTGGGAAACTCTTACCCTGCATCGGCCGGCTCATTCAAACCGGTATTGGTCGATGCCGTGATTAGACCGATGTTGGCTTTCTTGAAACAGACCGGGTCTTACCTCATGGTTAATGTTTTTCCTTTTTTCGCGTACAAAGATAACTCGAACCGAATCTCACTCGATTACGCTTTGTTTAAAAACAATCCCGGAGTGGTTGATTCGGGTAACGGGGTTAAATACAATAGCCTTTTCGAAGCTCAACTCGACGCCGTTTACGCCGCCTTGTCGGCTCTTCAATACGATAACATGAAAGTGGAGGTGACGGAGACGGGGTGGCCTTCGGCCGGGGACGAGGCTGAAACCGGTGCAAGCCCAGCTAATGCGGCGGCGTATAACAGTAACTTAGTACGGCGAGTATTGACCGGTAATGGTACCCCATTGAGACCCAACGATCCAATTAATGTCTACATATTTGCTTTGTTTAACGAGAACCAAAAGCCAGGTCCCACATCGGAAAGAAACTTCGGGTTATTTTACCCCGATATGCAAAGGGTATATGACATACCGTTATCACAACAGGGGTTAAACGGTAATTTTCCACAGCCGACGAACAGTAGTAGCCAGTCACCTCCGGCGAACAACGGCACCGGCGGTGGAGTGTCAAAGACGACGGTGGGGCAGACATGGTGCTTGGCCAACGCTAATGCGGACCAGCAAGAGCTGCAGGCGGCGTTGGATTATGCCTGCGGAGAGGGAGGAGCCGATTGTGGCCCGATTCAGTCAAACGGCGCGTGTTTTAATCCCAATACTCTCGTTGCCCATGCCTCGTACGCTTTCAATAGCTACTATCAAAAGAAGGCACGTGTGAGTGGCTCGTGCGTTTTCAACGGGGCGGCTTACGTGTCCACGCAACCTCCACGTACGTAATTTATCTCCTTAATTTAAATTTAAATTTAAATTAAATAAATTAGGTTAGATCCAAACGCAGTTAGTTGAGGTAATCTTAGGTACATTGCAAATTGGAACTAACATTAATACACGAATATCAATAGTGCAGTTGGACTTGGGGATGAAGTTATGCGGTAAGTTGGTTTCGGCCTAAACTTGTGCATTTTTTTATTGCAGCATTTGGGAACTGTCAATATCCAACTGGGCATTGAAGTGTGCAAAAAACAGAGAAGATTTGGTGAATTTCAGCAATACATTTATCTGGGCTACTAATTTTACCTTTTTTATTGTTACAAATAGAAAAGTGAAGAGTTTTGGTGTAACTCTCTATCTTTTGTATTTGTATTTAGTGATACGAGTTATTAACAAGGGAAATTATACATTTCTCTCACTCGTGGATGTTTAAATTAGAGGTTATCGTTATAATAATATATATATATTGTTAATGATTAATTTTTTTAAATATATATTATTTTATAATTATTTTAGACTATTTTTAAAAGAATTAAGCTTATCATTATAATTATGTGTGATTGTTAATGATTAAGAATTTTTTTGAAAATATAATATCTTATAATTACAATCATACCATTTTCAAAAAGAAAAATAGAGTTATCATTATATGGCGTGTATGTGACTTCATTGGTTAAATATATTGTTGTTTTCTCTTTTAATTGAAAGAGGGTTTTTTTGGTCCAACAAGACAAATGGGTAAATTATTTGAGGAAATAGAACAAGTAGAAGTTTGTTTTAGTATATACGGCATTTTCTACGGTGTTTATGAAACTCGTGACCTCGAGATGAAGAGTTCTTATAAAATATAATTTTTATTAAAATTTATCATATCGAGGTAAAAAATTAAATAAAAACTATTTTTTTATTAGAACCCGAGTTCAATGCACTGAAGAAAAATGTCATAGATCCCAAAATAAAAGTGTGTTTATTTTGAATTTTTTTTTCTGGCTGCTCATTGGGCCAGAAAAGCCTGAAAGAAGAGCCTTGGTCTACGTGGGGGATTGGCCGATTGGGTCGTTTGTAAAGGCCTACCAAAGCCAAAATAAAATGAGTGCCTACTTAGATGGACAGATTTACTTGGCGGTGTGAACGTCATGAACAAATAATTCACCTCTCATGGGCTACACTACATGTGGCCCAATCCTCGACACCATGTATCCCATGTTCTAGAACGCACTTCACTCATTTATCTTTCTCGAATCTTGGGAATTGTTTAACACTAGGAAATCAAAATAAGAAACACTTGTAGAATTGTACACTTATGATCGTCCAATCCCTAAATGCCATGTATATGTTGAAAATATGGTATAAAACCCTCCTAAAGCGGTCATAACATGTTGGATCCACGGCTCTCTTCTTCCACTTAATGCCCTCTATTCTCCAGCTGAGACTTTCTTCTTCATTAGAGGATAAGTATTTACTATAGTAAATACCTAATTTGATCCATCACTATTATTATTATTAACTATCACTGAGTAAACCCAAATTTATATTAAAAAAATTAATAAAGTCAAATTACAAATTCAATTATTTCTCAAGCCTAGCATGTGTTTATAAGATAATTATACAAATAATCACAAATATTTAAATAAGTTTTATTTTTTTCCAATATCAACCACTAACGTTTGCTAATGACATTGAGGACGTTGCCTCACATGACCAAACAACATCACATTCGTAATTTTAACAAAATATCATAGTTAGGAAGCTCATCCCATGGGTCAAAATTTTCCCCAAATTTTTATAAAGCATATTTAATAAAACATACTTTAAAAATTAAAAAAATAAAGCTATAAGAAGTAACAATTTAATTTAATACACATTAGTTCCATGAAATAAAGAACATAAGGGTGTTAATTCATATAGGCATGGTGAACTCTTTATGTTAAATTTACTAATATAGGATAAGTTAAAATAAGTTTTTCTACATTTTTCTCATGTAATCTTTATTTTTTTATTTCAACTTAATACATTAAGTTATAGTTTTTTATTTTTATTATTAAAATATAATTAGGGTTTATATTTACTAAAATTAAAATTTTTATATGTCAAAATATTTAAATTTTATTTTTATTTTTCTTCTATAATTGCTCGATGTAAACATCAATAACTATGAATTATATCAATTTCTCCCCACCAAACTAAATTCTATAAATACATAATAAATTTAAAATATATAGTTTAACTTAGTCTCGAACTCGTAAGTTTAAAACATAACATCAATTCCTTAATTACTGAAGTAGGTTGGTTCATTTAGTTTTAATAAATACTATAAATAAACATTTATTTTTTCTTTACTATGAACAAGTAAAAATATAAAATCCAATGCCATCTTATTTTGTTTGTTTGAGCAAATTTTCATTGTTTTTTGTATTTAAGGAATAATGGGAACAAAAATGAAGAATAGGGTTCAAATGACATTGACATACAAATGGAAACTACACTGATAAACATATAAATGAAGAATTATGCCCGAATGACATGCTGTTGTTGTCTAACACGTCCATTAGTCTCGACTTTGCCTTTATTAAAAATCCATATATAAAATACGAATTATTCTCTTCCATCTGCTGATAGTTTGGTCGAGTGGTCTACGGCTCATTGGGGAAAAACTCATATAATTAAAAGTTATTAATGTTTACATCAGTTGATTATAAAAAATAAAAAAATATATTTAATATTTTAATATTTAAAAAATATTTAATTTTAATTAATAAAAACTTTAATTTATATTTTAATAATAAAAATACTTTTTTTTAACTTAATGTATTAAGTAAAAATTTAAAAAATAAAGATTACATGAGAAAAAGATAGAAAAACTCATTTTAAGTTATATCCCACATTGTTAGCAAATATAGCATAAAGATTCTACCATGCCTATATAAACTAACATCCTCAAGCTTTTTATTTCATGAATCTAATATGTATTAAATTATATATTTAGTCTTTTTAATTTTTTAAAATATATTTTATTAAGTTTACTTTATTAAATATGACATTTTACCTTTATTTCAAAAAGAGCGTGATACCCATTAATGATGTTTTTATTTTTTATTTTAGGTGATATTTGAATAAAAAAAAGTTCATCACATTATCCTGTTCAATGCAACACATCCTATTAAACATGGATAACTTAATTGATTTTTCTATTATTTTTTATTTCTATTTAAAAATATACACATTTAATAAAAAAATTATATAGTATATAATATTTATAAAAAATATTTTTATAACTATTTAAATAATATAATTAAAATATGTTATATAGATTTCGAGAAATGATTAAATAACCCCTTTATATGCATATATTTTATCACTTCATTAATAATAATAATTTTTATAAATTTTTATAAACTAAGGGAATTAAAAAGTAGTACATGTTCTAAACACTCTTAATCATTTGACAATGAACACTCAATCATCATGCTGCAATCGCAGTGCTCGAATTCGTAACTTGTTCTAAAAAGTAGTACATGTTCTAAGTACTCTAACCTATTTGACAATGAACGCTAAATTGAATTCAAATTTAGGGTATAAAATACTCGACCCGACCTGAAAAATATATATTATAAATATGTGCCCATAATTATGGATTTTAATCCAACATGAACTATATAAATATTGGGTGGTAATTTTATAACTTTTTATAATCGTGGACTCAACAAGGTTATAACCTATAGTCGATATATCATTTTGTAAATTTTAATAGTTGAGGAACTTAACAAATAACTCTCTATAATCGAAGAATATTTTACGTACTTTACCCTACATTTTATTACTGATAAGTTTTGATTTCATTTATATGAAAGATATTATATTATTATTAGCAGAGTTTAGATTCAAAATTTAAGAATAGTGTAGTTTCTATTTTTATATTTTTAATAATATGGGATGAATAAAAAATAATATATTTTTAATACTTTTAATCATTCGATAACAAATGTTATTATAGTTATAAAAGATATACATATAATTTAAAAGTTATTGATAAATAAATATAAAGGTTTAAATGTTACTATTTTTTAAAAATAAATAAAATTATGAATATACTTTTAAAATGTGTAACCGTATTAAATATCCCTTAAAGTGCCATTATAAGTGTAGAAACTAAATTAAATATTTAAATGTAAGATATGATGTTAATAAAATTTATATTTTAAGATTAAAAAGATCATGTTCATTAAATAATTCTAGTGATAAAATAAAATATTTTTAAAATTTTTGAGTTTGAGTAATTATGTTTATAAAATGTGTATGATTCCATTATTAGTTAATTGAAATATTTTTAAATAAAATCATCTCGTATTGATAAAAAAATTGAAAAAAATCATATAATCGCCAAAATAGATATCATGATAGACTGGTTTAGGAAATGAAATAGTTCTTCTTGACGTTGAATTTACATTTTAACCCCCAGCTTGACCTTAATTCAAATCCATTCATACTGGTCCCCATAAGATCCTTTATGGTTAAGGACGCTTAACAATACTTAAAGCTAAGAACACTGCTTAATTGTCATAATCCCTAATGATAAACCTCCTTTCGTATAATGCAATCAATTGTATTTTTGAAGCTTCGGTCGAATTTTCCAATTGAACGATTCGATAAAGAAAAAAATTAAATCATAAAACTTTAGCTAAGATGGTTAATCAACCATATGATGTATAGTGGAACGGGTGGACAGTGCCACTAATCATGAGCCATGATGGACGGTAGTTACACCAAAAACATTAGGTTTGGCCCAATAAATATCAAGGATTATTAGACCCCGAAAGCACAAACCATAGAGGAAAAATCAAAATCAAATTAATTAATTAATGGGTAAAGTACACAAATGGCTACCCAATTCTATAGTGTTGTTTTGTTGAGTCCATCGATTATTAAAAGTTCTAAAATGGTCATTCGACTATGTAATGTTGCTTTGTTGTGTCCCTCGACTATTAAAAGTTAAGAATTTGATGAAAATATGAGTTGGATTTTAATCTATGGTATGAGATATGAAAATCATTTGAGATTCTAGGATCAGATTTTATCATATCTTAGACAACAAATTAACATTGATCTCATGTTGTCATCAATTTTTTAACAAAAAAATGAAAGATTTGAAACACAATGAATAGCTGGATGATTATTTTGTAAATTTTAATAGTCGGATGACTCAATAAAGTAACATCCTATAGTCAGAGAACTATTTTGTAACTTTTGATAGTCAATGAACTTAACAAAGCAGTGCCCTATAGTCGGGAGATCATTTGTGTACTTTACCCTTAATTAATTAAACCTACTTTTTGGGGGGAAATATGATAGTATTATTCGCCTTCGTTTTTTATTCCTTTCTTAGGCCATTTCAAGTAAAACAAGTACATTCAAAATTAG